ATATATATATATATATATATATATATATATATATACATATTTAATATAGAAATAAAAATAAATATAATAATAATAAAATGTAGCAACCTCTTATTTATTATGTGAAACTCACATAAAAAAAACGAAATAGCCATTTTCTCTTAAAAATTGTTATAACTTAACTTTTTTCGTAAAATATCGTCTTCTTACTACGTTTTTATTCCAATAGGAAAAAATATATTAAAATATCTATCTATGTATAGATATATAGATAGATACAATAAGTATCTTTGTATTGTATTCAGCTCAATCTTTGATTAAATTTACAAATCTTAAAAAATTTGAAGATTATTTGATACTTCATTTTATTAATTCAAGTTAATGTGTAAAATATTTTTGTGACTATCCTTCAATTTGAAATAATGAAACAAAATATCAAATAATATTTAAATTTTTTAAAAAAATTTGACAAATTTGATTTATGCATTAAAAAAATTTAATTTAATAATTAAATTGTTGAAATTTGATATAAAATATGAGTTATCAAGTAAAATAAATTTAGATAAACTTATTCATTGAGTAAGTAGATCTCACTCCAAAGAGACATTAGGTACATGAAAATTTTTTATTTTTTGCAAATATATAAAATAAAGAATTAAAGTGGCGGTATTTTTTTAAAGATTTTTTTTTAATAAATTTAATATTGAAATGACTAATTTAATGACAAAAATATTTTTAAAATAATTTAATAAATGAATTTTCAAAAAATAATATAATAAAACATGTTGATTTTAGAATCTGAAATTGTGGACTTGGTTGACACTATTTGGTATTGCTGATGAATGAATCATAGGTGCAGTCCACTCAAGTACCAGAAACAAAAGAACAGGTAGATAAATAATATCCTTGACCCTTCCATCATAGAGTTTGGTTTGTTTTAAAATTATTTATCGGTTGGATTTTTGCAGAACATTCCCCACTTTTGAGATGGTTAGAGGAAGTGGGGTAGGCACCCATTGCTATTCGGAAATGACTTCTTGTCCATTGTGTTCGGTGTTCTCTAAGTCACAAAGCTGCCCTGCCAATTCAATATTCTTTGGTTGTGGTTTAATTAATCATTCTAAATTTTACACTTTCTATTTTTTTATGCATTAGTTTCTATATAAAAAATAATACTCCTTCTAGTTTTATTTATAAGACCTAAATTAAAAATGTTATAAGAACTAATATAAGAAGGTGGATCCTTATCCTTATTAGAAGTCATACCTTCACCAGAATGACTAGCGCAAAAATAAAAAAAATATAAGTTTAATTGCACTTTTGATCCTCCTAATTTAGTACAGGAGTAATTTTGGTCTTCATAATTTGAATTGCTTAATTTTGGTCTGTAAATTTAAATAATAGGTAATTTTAATCCCACAAAGAATTTACCATCCAAAATTTAACAGAAGTTAATAATGTGAATTTTATGCTAAATAAACATTAATTATATATCATTTAATTTCTTACGTGTCAAATTATTTAATATTCAAATTTTAAATTCAAATAACACTGAAAACAAAATGAAAAGGGTATTGATATCAATCGCAGTGAGAATTTTTCACTAAATTAGAATTTTTTTTAAAAAAAATTACCAAAAAAATACATGTACCAATTTATTTACCCAAGAAGCACCTTTCACTGTTCACGTTCAGAATTTGGTTTTCGAGAATAATGAGCTGTTAATTTTATTTTTTTGCGTTTTGGATCTGAGCATGGTGTAAAATTGGATCCAGAATAGCCGGTTCTCCTTTCAGAACGCCTGTTCTCCTTGTAGCACTTGCAGAACGGCCCGTTCTCCTTTTAGAACAGGTCGTTCCGGATGTAAAAATACACACATGACGATGGATCAAAATGGGCCGTTCTGCTTGGACGTTCCAGTTTCAAACTTAACAGACTACACATGCAAGCAGAATGGCCCGTTCTGCTTGGAGAACGGGCTGTTCCAGTTGCAACATTAACAAGTATAAGAAAGATAAATATAAAATAAATGAATTTAAAATTTTTAAAATTTGAATATTAAATAATTTGACACGTAAAAAATTAAATAATATATAATTAATATTTATTTAGCATAAAATCTATATCATTAATGTCTGTTAAATTTTGGATGATAAATTGTTTGTGAGACTAAAATTGCCCATTATTTGACTTATGACTAAAATTAATTATGAAGACCAAAATTAATCTTACACTAAATTAGAAAGACTAAAAGTGTAATTAAGCCAAAAATATATTTAAAGTTCAACACTCATTCATTCTAATTTCTCTTACGTTTCATACTTTGAATGTGTTTTTCCAATTCACCAACCCACAGAAATCAAAGTCAAGTATATGCGTCAACCCAAGGTAAAATCAATGCAATTATAACAACTATACTCCGAACACATCAAACCACAATTTGTTATACAACTCAATAACATCAAACAAACATTGAGTGAATCAAAGAGAAAAAAAATTATAAAAAACCAACAAGGACAGTGAACTCCCAAAAGCCCAAAGTAACTCAAATCACCACCAAACAAAACAAATTTGATGAATAATTGATCAAAAAA